ATCAACTAATTATTTAATAAATTATTAATTACAGCTTAGTTGAAATTTTTGATATATGTTGATTGTTATAATCTACTTGATAATTACAAATATGTAAGTAAAAAAAAAAGATTTGTATGATATATATAGCAAAATCTAATTGGAAACAAATTTAACACGTGTCAAAATCCCGGATCGGATACGTGTCGCGATCGTGTTAATTATTATATTTGACGCATCAAGTTTTATATAATAAGACATGGTTGTCGACAGTAGTGTATAATAAAAACATGGGTTAATTAGGATAATATTACTTTTACTGTTAAAAATTAGGCAAGTGACATATCCAAAAATGTATTTAGGTTAGTAGCATAGAGAATTAAAATTATGACGAAATTGTCCTTACAATTGTAATTGATTCCATCTCTGGAAAATTGCTCATACGGTTGTATCTTTTCCAAAAGTATATATGCGTTTCGCATTACTACTCTTAAAAAAAAAACTAGTGAGAAGATGACAAAAATAATATCTATATTGTAGCAGTTAACAATTTAATAATATAGTTAACTATTTTCGAAACTATTTATTCAATTGATTTGAGAACATAGTTAACTATTTTTCATAAAATAGTTACCTATTTAAAATATAGTTAACTATTTTTAAAATATAGTTAACTATTTTTAAAATATAGTTATCAATTTAAAAATATAGTTAACTATTTTCATACCATAGTTGACTACTCTACTAATTTCATGACATAGTTGACTACTTGAAAATGGTATTGTAATAGTTATTTATTTAAACAAACATAGTTGACTACGTTCATAACGTAATTACCTACTATAGTTTGCATAATGGAAAAAATAGTATACATAGTAATTATTATCTGAAACATAGTTACCTATTATAATGGAAAAAATAAGATACATATTTAACTATTATCAAAAACATGGTTACTTATTATAATGAAAAAATAACATACATAGTTAACTATTATAAAAAACAGAATTACCATTTCCGAATATAGTTAACTATGTTGACTTTAGCGGCGGCTCAGTTTGATCAAAAGAGGGTGACGGTGAAGAGTTGAATGGAGGAGAAGAAGTACCATGTTAACTACTATAAGAAGTTAATTAAAAAAAATCAGCTTGAATAATGAC